TTGCATTTTATAGGATGTAGAAAAATATATATTACAACTCCTTCCAATTTTTGATATATCCAGTTAATATTGTTATGGTTTTCTGACAGCCTTAGTACATTTTGTCTTTTTTGGTAAATTTTTAGTTGAATTTTAAAAAGAAATAACTTCCACATGCTCATTGAACAGACTAATCACCTGTGTTCCCTCTGTAAATGTGATCATAAGTGGGGATCTTTTAATTCTTGCTTTCAGTGGGTGTGTGACCTTTCAGTTCTCTCTCTTTCTCTCTCTCTCTCTCTCCATATTACAGTCAGAGAGGAAGTTAAACCTAGGTTTGACAGGTAGAGTTTTTTTATTTCCCTTGACAGTGCACCTCTTGACCTCTATCTTCTTGCCAATGATTTTTTTAAATCCTAAATGATTTGGGAATAATTGCTCCTCCTTTAGTGATTATTGCCCTTCACCAATAGTAAATCTATGAAATCCCCTGAGGTAGGAGTACATTTTTGTATGCGTATGCCACAAGCTGGCCTGGATAGGCATCAGTGCTCTTTTGCAGCTGCACTTTCTGAGCTGACTGTCTTCTTGCATGAAAACTTGCCTATGCAGAATATAACACACCACTAGTGAGCAGCCTTCTCAGCTACTCACAAGTGCTCAGATCCCTCAGAAACCCATCTTCATGGTTTCCCTTTTTCAAAGGAAGTCCCCTTTTAGGGTTTTAGAACTGGAGTGAAGACCCATTTCCTTAAGAATTCATGTCTTCTTAGGGTATGTCTATACTGCTGCAATTAAACACCTGCAGGTGGCCTGTGCCAGCTGACTGGTGTTCAGGCAAAGGGGCTGTTTAATTGCAATGTAGAAGTTCAGGCTTGGGCGGGAATCCGGCCTCTAGGACTCCCTGTGAGGTGGGAGGGCACCAGGGCTTGAGCTGTAGCCCAACTCCAAATGTCTACACTGCAATTAAACAGTCCCTTAGCCTCAGCCCCTTAGCCTGAGTCAGCTGACACGGGCCAGCCACGGGTGTCTAATTGCAGTGTAGATATACCCTTACAGTCCCCAAAACCAAGGCCACATGGGCCCCTGCCCTTGTGGAAGGCAGCTCTGCACTGAATCTGAGGACGGTCATGCCTGCAATAGAGTCCTGCTGACATACAGGAGACGAGAAACTCATTCATATTATCTCCCTGCAGCCTCCACTGACTCTCCATGGATTCTGCCCCCTTTCCCACGCCGGAGTCAGGGAGACACCAGTAGCCATGGAGAGCTGCCTGAAGGGAGGGGGAGGAGTTTGATGATGAGGGGGCTAATTTCAAAGCTACTGAAGCCGATGCTTGTGGGTGAGAGATGACTGGAGGGAAAGCAAGAGGCTCTGCTCCTGCCCCTTTTCCCAATGCCTGTGGAGCTCTGTGTGTGTGTGTGAGGGCTAATGGCCCCCATTGTCAGCTGCTAGCATTGTGAGCTCTGGTGCTAGATCAGGAAGAAGGTGGCTATTTGGCTGCCTTGCAATTTCCCAGCTAGCACTCCTTCGGGGAATCCCTGTTTGCTTCACATTGAAATATCAAGGGAGGCGCTGCCTCCTTCCTCACTCCAGTCCCCAGTGCTCCCTGTTGTCGAGAAATTGGAGAGAATGCAGAAAATAGCCACAAAAGTGGTCTCAGGGCTGAACAAAATGCCCATACAGTGAGAGACTTAAACCACTCAATCTGTTTAGTTTATCAAAAAGAAGATTGAGAGGTGCCTTGATCACAGTATACAAGTACCTTCATGGGCAGAAAACACCAGGTACTAGAGGGCTCATCAACCTAGCCGAGAAAGGCATCACAAGAGCCAGTGGCTGGAAGCTGAAACCAGGCAAATTCAAATTAGAAATCAGGCACAAGCTTTTAACTGTCACTGGTAGTGAAAGTGATTAAACCATTGGAATAAACTAGCAAGGGAAAGGGTGGATTCTTCGTCTCTTAAAACTGGATGTCTTTCTGGAAGACATGCTTTAGTCAAACATAAGTTACTGGGCTCAGTGCAGGAGTAAGTGGGTGAAACTTAATGGCGTGGGGTGTACATATAAGAGATTGGGTTAGCTGATCTGCTGGCCTTGTCTGGCCTTAAACTCTTTGAAACAATGAGGCAGACACAGAATAGCTCCATGAATGCTACAAATTGAAAATTTTAATAGTTATAAGGTATGGTGATGAAGGGCCAGAGCATGTCATCTCTTCTGTCCTTAAATTCTGTGAATCTATGGAAATAGTTCATTCCCTCCCCAGCATCAGACCCAACACACTATGGCAACCAAATTTTCCTGTTACTTCAGTTTGTGAGTCTTCATTTGTGCTCTATCTAAACAGCAGCGGAGGGGACTGTGATAACAGTGTGACTGTATAGAGCAAAGGCTCTTAAATTTGGCCCTCATTATGGGAACATCGATGCGCATGCTGCTATGTGGCTGCATCGTATATGAAAAAGATGTGTTTCAAGGACCAGGCTAGGAAAGAAGAGGTTTTAATATTAGCTAGAAGTGGTAACTGGGATGATGCCTAAAATAGAAAGATTCTGTATGTTATTTTAATAAATCTGTTGCACGCCACACATACAAACACAAAAACAAATCAGAATTCCCCTTAGAATATGGTTACTAGAGAAGCCAACCCCCATTTGTGGTGTACGTGACTCATTCCCATGACCTCTCTGACAATGGCCTATTTATCCGCCCAAGTCAGATGGAAAAATGCTAGGCTGGTTTTCTGTGCATGCTCAGTGGAGTCCCCTTGATGCTATTCTTGGCAACACCATTGCCATCTAAGGCAATTCTGGTCCAGTTACAAATGTGCCTTTTAACCTACAAAGGCCCGTAGGTGGAACATGGACCTGTAATGAGGGACACAAGAAAAAATGTAGGGCAGAGCGCTTAAAATGTGCGATCAATTTATATAGTATAAAAATAAATACTGTGTGTAACCCCAGTGTAACAAGTCTATATTTCTACTTTGTCAATGTTAGAATAATTGAGATAGCAAGTTTAATGTGGAAGAGAAGTAAATTTCGGCAAAAAATGAGTAATGAGAGAGAGTTGTGAGGTATAATTATTGTGGAAGCCTGGTAGCACTGTAGGTAAGGTTGCAAGTTAAGCAGCTACTGTAGCAAACTTGCAGCTAAGATAGTTTGGTCATGTAACTAGTTAATACATTTTCAAACACAACTGGCTCTGTCTATAGTAGGTGCATAGTCATGTTTGAAAAATGGGAGCTAAAACCTGTTGTTTGACATGTTTTTGAACAAGACGTATTTTCCCAGTCTACCCTATAATGCACTTTGTAGCCCTCTAATGTAAACTGCCTTTGTTTATCTTGGGTGCAGTCCAGAATTTATTGAGAGATTTGGGTGAGGAAAGAATGCTGAGTCATAATTTGGGGCTGAACTTTTCTGTGATTGCTCAGAGGTTATTTTTTTCTTTTTGGGGTGTGGGGGAAGTTTGAGATAAAGCAGTCAGCCATTTTTAAATCCAAAGGAGGGGAAGGCAGGGTGACAGCAAGGACTTGAAATTTGTCACTTACGACTCTGGTTTGAAACAAATGGATTTTGATTTAACAAAGATATCACCATATGAAAACTGTGTGTATTGAGCATGCACGGTGATGGGGCAAGGCCAGATGGCTATAGAAAAGTAGTGGGAGATAGATATATTAGCTCCAGGCTAAACAAATCCCTGGTACCAGGATAAGTGAAATGGCAGCTGCTCCAGGTCAATTAAGACACCTTGGGCCAATTAAGAACTTTCCAGAAGGCAGGGAGAATGCTAGGTTGATTGGGATACCTGAAGCCAGTCAGGGGCTGGCTGACAGTTAAAAGCCTCCCAGTCAGTCAGATGGGTGTGCATGTCAGGAGCTGTGGGAGGAAGTTGTGCTGTTGGAGAGACTGAGTAGTACACACCATATCAGGCACAAGGAAGGAGGACCTGAGGTAAGGGTGAAGTGGAGCTTGAGGAAGTGAGGGTTGCTGTGTGGAGGAAGTAGCCCAGGAATTGTACATGTCATGTTTCTAAAAGGTCAGCTACCATAGCTGATACTAATAGGGTCCCTGGGCTGGAGCCCGGAGTAGAGGGTGGGCCCAGGCTCCCCCCCCCACCTTTGCCCCCTGATTAATCACTGAGACTGGGAGACAACAGAGACTGTGCAAGGAAAGATAACTTCTCCTCACCTCCCTCACTGGCTTATGATGAAAATGGCTCAGTAGACTGTGACCCTTGTCTCTAGAGAGAGCAGGGTTACGTGGAGGGTCACAGTGAGCCTCTGAGGCTAGCAAAATCCGCTAGGAAACGCGGGACTCACGGAGTCAAGGACAGAGTATTTGTCACAATACACAGAGACTTTTCTCAGTTAAATTTTGCTTTGTAACCAATGTACTTTAGTTTGCTTATACAGTATTTCACTTTCATAGACAGTAACTGATTTTGATGCGATCATTGCTACATACATGGAAAATGCTATGTATTTTTGCATAACATGACATTGGACTGCATTGTGATGCATGTCTGTCTAAATTTTCATATTTCCCAACTGTGATTTGAGAATAAATGTTCCCAAGTTATTTTTTTCATAGATTTGCAAACATTTTGATCAGCCTTTATAGTATAACTTCTAAGGAAATGTTTAAAACTTTATATTATCTTATCTGCCATTGCCATAACATAAAAACATGTTTGGTAGGAATGTAGGACTAACTTTATGAATTTCTACATTGTTTTTGTACTGTGCCTAATCATTTTTGACTCTTCTGATTTGATTTCAAATTGTGTGGATATATACTGTTCAACTGTATAGCCAGCAGAGGTGCAGTGTGAATTATATTCAGTGTAGGATGACTTTTAATCAATATGATGACAATATTATCTTGTTTAATTTGTATGATGGCAGTATTAAACATCAAATCAAGCAGTTTATTATGTCAAGAAAGATGAAGTATGGCAGAAATAAAATTCACTTGACACCAATTTTGTCTGTATTTCATTGCTGTGACAGGCCATCATGATTGGAGACGATATTGTGAATGATGTAGGAGGTGCCCAGCAGTGCGGTATGAGAGCTCTACAAGTACGGACAGGGAAGTACAGGTCAGTGCACGTTATACACCTTACACTCCACATGGCTAATCACAGAAAGAGGGAATATGACGACTGAGTATGATTTGCTGTATTTACGTTTGTCCTCAGGTACAGATTGCTCCAGTATTCTTATGACACCTTGATTTAAAAGGGAAGGAGGAATTATGGCATTGCACCCAATGCTGTTTCAGAATAGTGCTGCAAAATGAGCATTTATGCTGGATCTGATTTTCAGAAAGGCCTCTACCAGATCTCTGGTGGTTGAACAATTTTGTTATCAGCCTGTGCAACCACTTTTTCAGCACAAACCTCTGCTTACACTATTGTTAGATTCTGGCAGGCATTAGAATTTCCACGAGCAAAAACCCTTTGGACAAAATTGTGTGTGCACAAGTGGAAGCTGGGACCTGGAGATCAGACCCACAGTAATTGATTATTTTTTAAAAAAATTCCTTTCTAGCACACAGATTATTGATAAAACTTGTTTGTGTGTGAGCAAATGAGTCATCTGTGATACAACAGCTCTTGTTTCTTTGATAAAGTCTGCCTTATGCTTACTGTATGTGAAAATGTTTGATGGGCTGTGTAAATTACTCTACGCTTGTTTTTGATATTCTCAAATTGCACCATTGTTACTAAAGACGAGGACCCCCTGTCTGCTTGGCTGAATTCCACCACGAGTAATCCAAGTGCAAAATTTAAGGGGCCAATCCTGCTAGCTGCTGAGTTCCTTGTGCAAGATGCTGAGAGCCCTCAACTTTCAGTGAGGCCAACATCACAAAATCCGACCTAATATTAGCTCTTTTGTATTTTTTGGCAAGTTTCTGGATATTTCAAGTCTACCCTGTCCAAGGTGCTATTGCAATCACAGGGCACCTCCATATGTGTGTCCATATCTCTAGGCATTTATACCACATGCATCACTGAGGATATTTGGGATATGGTGGATATTCTCTCATTGAGCACCCTATCTGCCCACTGGTCGATGGGGGCAGGCTTTTACAAATGGATCAAACTCAATTTTATGGGTATTTTCTTCTGACTGTATTTTCTTCTGCTAGGCCCACCTGTGTATCTGGGCTAGGCTCCCTTTCCCTCTCTGGATGATCTAAGAAGTCCTATCTGTTACATATCCAAAAGTACGCTCAATCTGGAAATGCTGATGCAGTAAAATGAGTGATTGTTAGTGCAGGGATCTTAATAATGTTCTTTCTTCCAGAGATAAGTAAGCAGGATGGACAGATGAGCTAGGACCCCTATGAAGTTAGTTTTCAAGGGAGCATGTCCCTCAGTCTCCACTTGATTTGGATTAGCAAAGACACAGACCTTTGAAGCCAAAATAGTACATGCTCTCCCAGTTCTTATGACAATCTGTGAGAAATGAGTAATTTTAAGATGTCTGTAGCTAGAAGCAGGTACAGTGTATTTTTGTACTCACGTTTTTAAGCATTAGTAAATAAAATCTCAAAATCAATTATCTGTCTATTTCTATAAATCTCGGTATTAACATTTTTTTTGTTTTGCATGACTGGGGTTATTGATCCCATTAATTTCCGTAGGGGAGTTTTTCAAAGGGACTTGTTGTTAACAGCTCGTCTCTCATTGATATTGATGGAGATCAGCATGCACCACTTTGAAAATCTACATCTTAATGTCACACAATCAGTTTAGGGGTTTTGTTTCCTAAAAAGAGAAATAAATTAGGATTGAAAAGTGCTGAGAACTTCAAGGGTGCTCAGCACCCCACAGGAGACCATGGAATACAGTCTTTTGGACAGCTGAAAATAAGAGTGGGAATGTTGTTTTTTCACATCAGAAAGATATTTGTTTCTATGAACCATGATTCACATAAATACCAGCTAGAGGAGAATGATCAATTGCTCTGGATAGAAGAGAATGTTTCCCTCTGTCCTTATTTAAATTTCACATTCAAATATGTGTTTGCTGCTATCCAAAATCATATACCATTATATGGGTATGAAAAATAGTGGCATCCCATTGTGAATTGAACACCTGGTGCTATTCCAATTGCTGTGTGTAGCAACCACCAATAAAATCAAACAATATGTCTTGTATACAAATAGAGACTAGAGACACTGGTTTATTAAGAACTACTATTTTAATTTACATGGAAAATAAATAAGAATACAATAGGAAACATCACAAAAAACAAATATCAAATGAAAACTGATAGGCAAGAAATTTGAAAAATAAAAGAAGAGCAAAATTATTCTGTGGTTGATTTAAAGACTAATTCCTAATACAGATTAAAAACTGATGGTGTGACATTATGCCTGGATTCCATAATTGCACATAGATATATCTTTTGCACACAGACCTGTGTGCTATGCTCAGGTACCTCTGGGTGGCACCATTGGTACATATACTTGATGTAACTAACAGTCTTTCCATGAAAGCTTAAACTAATTTTGCAAAATCAGCATACACCATGAATGCTCCACTAGGATGTTATAGTGCAGATGCTGGGTGACAGCACAGTCCACTTTCTGGAAATTTCACCCATGAAAATTTTGCAACTCACCAAACTTGAGTTCATTGTGGATGTCAGATAACTCCCTTTATGCCTGTGGACCAGAAGCAGCTTTCTCCCATTTGAGCCAGGAGGTTGCTGGCTGCCCAAAACAAAATGGAGGCAGAATCAGGCCCAAAAGCTTGTGTTCCGTGGGATAAAGAGCAAATGAGAGGAATTCTGGATGGGAACTGTTCCAGTCGTGTTTCCCAACATACCAATGAATAAATAGGGATTAGACTGTTCTCGCAAGTTACCATATATATGGCAGTTTACTCTAGCATTCTGTAAGCTGAGCATTTCCACTGTAGATCTATGGCACTGTATGCTTACCGCTAAAGCACAGACATTCTGATCTCAGTTACACTGATTTCAGGGCACCTGCACTTATTTCAGTAGGGTCATTCTGATTTACACTGGAGTACTGGAGATCAGACTCTGTCCTAAGTAATCCAGTTCTGTCTTCAGTAAGGTGTGCAGTTCTGTTGAATCCAAAAGGAGTTATGTCATCATGTGTAAATGTAGGCAGGGCTGATCCAGTGTTACCACATATCACCTTATTGAACCTTATAAACTGTTGTTTTTTTTTTTACTCTAGAGGCAACAAATGATCCTAGGGCTTAGTTTATTGAAGAAGCTATGCTGTTTACCCACAGCTGTGATAAACCCTGATATCGGAACATCCTTTTTATCAAATCACCTACATAAAAGTTTAAATACTGAAAAAAATTGAAAACCCCACATCATCATCATCATGTTCATATTACGCCTCTGGCATTTCGGGCAGTGACGAAGCTCCTCCACTCCTGTCTGTTTCTGGAAGGTCTTTCAATGGTTCCCCAGCTGTGCCTCAGGTTTTTCAGCTCGGCTTCCACAGCTCTTCGCCATGTTGTTTTTGGGCAGCCTCATTTTCGCTTGCCTTCAGGTGTCCATCTTATTGCTACTCTGGTGATGGAATCAGTTTCCATCCGAAGCACATGACCGATCCATCTCCAGTGTCTCCTGGCAATGATAGTGCTCAGATCCTCTTGGCTGCACTGTGTCAATAGATCTTGGTTTGAGATTGTTCTGGGCCAAAAGATACAGAGGATTTTTCTGAGGCAGGTTGTATAGAATGAAGATAGTTTGGACATGTCATACTTTCTCATTCCCCAGCATTCTGCACTATAAAGTAGTGTTGAAAGTATGCAGCTCTGATAAATCTTGAGTTTGGTTTTGGTGTTGTATTTTGATGATTTCCAGACTGCATTTAAGCTCCTGAAGGTTTTCCTGGCTTTATTGATTTTGTTCTGGATGTCCTGGCTTGTTCCACCGTCCTGGCTTGTTCCACCATCCTGGCTGATGATGCTGCCCAAGTATGTGAATGTTTCTCCGTTGGTGAGAACATAATTCTCTATCCATACTGGTGATGGTGAGGCAATATTAATGGTCATGATATCTGACTTATTGCGATTGATTTTCAGTCCAATTTGCTGGCTGAATGTGTTGAGTCGAGTTGTTTTTTTTTTTGTATATGGTGTTGGGTATGTGATGAGCGACATCATCTGCGAAGTCCAGGTCTTCAAGGGATGAGAAGAGTGTCCATTTAATGCCTCTTGGCATATCTTCTGTTGTACGCCGCTGTGACGTTGCACTCCATATGCTTTATGTAAATATGCTTCTGAATATGACATAACTGGAATATGCTTTACACCCTTGTATGGTGTCATTTGTTAGCCTCTAAGGTGCCACAAGTACTCCTTTTCTTTTTGCGAATACAGACGAACACAGCTTCTACTCTGAAACCTGTCATTAGAAATCTTGTAATCTACTAAGTGTGTTCATCCTGTTTGTTTGCATGTATTATTTCTATATCTGGAGTTAGGAGAACAAGATATAAACTTGTATTACTGATGTAAACATATTAAGTGGAGGCCATTAAGATTGCACCAGAAACAATCAGTTGTAAATGGCCTTAGTTACTTGAAAGCCTTCCTGTGTATGTGTGGGCCAGCCCATAGGGAACGGAGACTAGGGGTCTTACAGTGACATGTGACCATGTCCCCTGATAATGAAATCCATCTTAAATCTGGTATTTTTCCATTTAGAAGAAGGGGTGAGGACCCAGAGAGAAGAAAGATTCCCGCCTTGTGACAAAGCTATGAAAGGGGGTGGAGTAAGACAAAAGGGACTGCCAGTCATGAGAAAACCGCTGCTTACCACCTGAGATGTCTGCTGGATCTAACAAAGACTGTACCAGGGGAAAGGATTGGGCCCAGACTAGGAAGGAGTCTAGTCTGTGAAAGAAGCTTATTGGAACATCTTTGAGGGTTAGATATTACCTGTAATCAGTTTCTTAATGTATTAGGTTTAGACTTGCGTGTTTTGTTTTATTTTGCTTTGTGACTTACTTTGTTCTGGCTGTTATTACTTGAAATCACTTAAATCCTACTTTTTATACTTAATATCACTTTTGTTTATTAATAAACCCAGAGTAAGT